CACACACACACACACACACACACACACACACACACACACACACGCTGCTTAATTTACTCTCCTCTGAGGACACTTCAAAGTCAAGCTGGTCCACCTTCTTGTGTTTGCACAATTAGATTAGTTTTATCTTATGATTTGTTTGATCAATGTTTTTGAATCCTTAGCTTGTCACCTCTCTTCAAATGTTTCTTCTTAAGATCCAGTGTTGAATGCTTTCAAAAACACACATTTGCATGCATATATTTTTATAAATTCTTTAATTCTAAGAATTAGTAACTGACATACCAACAGAAAATTACTTGATTAAATTTCATTAACTGTAAACTGTTCATCCACAGTTATAATTTTTTAATGCAATTTACTGTGAATTTTCTCTTAGTCTCTGCAGTAAGAAGAAGACGAGCAAGGTAAAATAAAGATGCATGACCTTATATTAATAATGCATTGCATTAATAATCTGCGATGATCACAGCAGTGTTATTTTAGTATTGCCAATCATAGTTCTATTATTATTTTGAATGAGTTTTTATTTATTTTTTGACTTTTTAGGTTTTCATTTTAATTTGAGTGATTTTGTGTTTTTGTTTATTTGTTTTTATTAATCTCAGTTTTTTATTTGTAACTTTTTGTTTTTAATAAAACAAGTTTAATTATTTAAAATATTTTATTTCCATTTGTTTTAATTACCTGTAATAAACCTGTATCACAGTTATTAGAAGACAAGCTATCATATATGTCCTGTGTTTGTCTCAGCAGAAGCCTGTCTCCTGACTCCTCTTCAAACACGGTATAGGACATTTACAGTAACCAAATACAGTAAATAAAAAAAAGAATAAATAGCAAATGATATTTATTTTGACATTAATTTCATGACACTTGAACTAATTTACAACTCTCATAATGTATCTGATGTTCTTGTACTTTTTACTTCCAGCCCAGGAGTCTGTGGAGGAACTGTTGCGATTCTCCTACCAATAAGGAGAACGAGCGCGCAATTGTCGGTAACGCTTATATATAATATTATTATTATTTAGGTAACCAAAATGTCAATATGTAAATATAAATGTGATATGCACCTAATTATCGACCTTATTTTTAACGGAAGTGTGGCGTGGCCATTTGTAACTTAAATGTGCGCGACTTCCGGTGTCACTGGCTTCCAGTTATTTTAGCTGTACAAAAACAGATCTTTATGCTGCTTGATATTGCAAACTGGAATTTGTTATCTTGTTTTTAAAGGGGTCATATGATGCTTTTTTAAAGATCATTATTTTGTGTATTTGGTGTAACAGAATATGTTGACATGCTTTAATGTTCAAAAAACACATTATTTTTCAAATACTGTACATTATTGTAGGTCCTCTATGCCCCGCCTCTCTCAAACGCTTCGTGACCCCTTTAAAGTATTATTGTACTTGTTTCTAGCGCAAACAGTTTTACCGTTTACTGCATTTGTTACTGTTAGTTCTGTAACTTCTAGTGCGGCTAATGAATCATAGTCTCGCACATCCACAGAAAACAGCTTATAATTCTGCTGAATCTGTGCATCTTGGCATCAGTGTTGGGCTTGTTACTCAAAAAATTTAATATATTACTCATTACTAGTTACGCCTGTCAAAAGTAATTTTATTACATTATTTATTACTCCCGGCCAACAGTAATTAGTTACACTACTAGTTACATTACTTTTCCATTACACCCCAAAAAAACTGGTAATTGCATAATTTTTGCAGCCTCTGAATCCATGAAAGTTACAGATAAAGAGTGCTCAAACTGATGACAAGCCACAATATTTTAAACAACTTTTGTTATTTAATAAAGCAGCAACATAAAATCTGCAACAGGGCTCAAGCAGGTAACCAACCAAACATGTTGGGATTCGCAGTAGACAAAGTCTTAGTACCACTGCACAGTTTACATGTGACATCCTTTCTCCCTACAAAATTATAATAATGGCTGTATATTCCAGCCGCTATATGACGAAGCTAGCTTGCTACGATTATGAGGGATGATTGTATTTTTGAATTTCAAATCATAAGCAATTGTGACAAAAAAAGTAACTAGTATCTAGCTGTTTTTTTTTTTTGGATGGTGACTGTAATATTATTACTTAGAGTACTAGTTACCAGGGAAAGTACTATTATTACTGTAATGGATTAGTAACTAGTTACTGCCTATCACTGCTTGGTGTGATGTTGACATGGTATATTGCACTGTATTGTTTTGTACACTGGGTCATGCTCATAAAGGCTGTGTTTCACTGCGGCTGCATTCATTCACAATGCTGGCCTCGACATTCGTCCAGCAGAAGAGACTGCGTGTGCGGCTCTCCAGTAGATTCTCCGCTGCAGATGAAGCCGAACCGGGCCGAACATGGAGACAGCACCGCAGTGACCCAGAAGAGGACACCAGTCTATCACGAGAGACGAGTGCGGTCGACCCGGTGGTGAGGATAAATGCACAAGCAGTGTCTGAGCCTGAGGTGGAAGATGCTTGTGTTACTGTGTGTTTTCACTCTGCTCGTCTGCAGGCCGCTGCGAGGTTCAGTCAGCTGAGGTCACGGCGGAAAGCCCCGCCCACACACGTCACTCAGGACGCCGTCACTGACCTCGCTCTCATAGGAGACTTCAGTAAGGTTGGTTCTGCAAAACCAAAATGAAACAATATGATATTAAACAAGACAAACGCGAAGTTTATTCATAAATGTAACCATGAAAAGCCAGTTTTTTGACTGAATATGACTTTGCATTCTGCACTTTTTAAAGAAATTAATACTTTTATTCAGACGACAGTTCTTAAATTGATCAAAAGTGACAGTAAAGATGTTTATAATGTTACAAAAGATTTGCATTCCAAATAAGTGCTGCTCTTTTGAACTTTATATTCATCAAAGGATTCTGAAAAGTGTATCACAGTTGCCACAAAAATATTAATCAGCACCTGTTTTCAACATTGATAATAATCAGAAATGTTTCTTGAGCAGCATATTAGAGTGATTTCTGAAGATCATGTGACACTGAAGACTGGAGTAATGATGCTGAAAATACAGCTTTGCATCGCAGGAATAAATTACATTCTACAATATATCCACATAGAATGAAATAAATGCAGCAGACTGATTTTCATGCCTTCTCAGCTGGATTGTGTTTTTAGATTAACATGTACATTTATGCATCTAGCAGACGCTTTTATACAAAGCCACTTACAAAAGAGATTAAAAGGTGATATGAGTCTGAAGTTGGTTCTGAAAGTGTTTATAGAAATCATAGTCAATTCATTATTTCAGTCTTGATTCAAATGGTTTCCATAGCAACACCTGCTTCCTGTTGAGAGTGGCGGCCATCAGGAGCTTCACTGTGTCAGCGCTCACACTGTAAGTGATCATGAACATTTTCTAAGCTAAAGTGGATCAGAAAGCTCTGATAATAACGTGATGTTCTTTGCAATGTGGAATGGTAAAAGAGTCCCATTTGAATGTCATCTTATATTAAATGTCCTTTTAATCTCAAAGCAGCTGAGACAGACGCATAAGTTCTTTACACAATTATTTCATGGGTTTATTTTAATGACGTGTGTCTCATTGATGAGATGTTGAGGTAAAAGGGTTGTCTGCTCCTGACCTGAAGGTGGCGTCACTGATCAGAGGTCAGTTTGGTCCTGCAGTCGAGGATTTCCTCATCATTGACTGCCGTTACCCATACGAATACCAAGGAGGACACATCAAGGTACATAAATCTTAAATTATGAATGTTTTAATGTGGTGAGGTCTTTCAAACCAAGGTCCAGACTCAACAGAAATCATTCTAATATGCTGATTTGCTGCTAAAGAAACATTTCTGATTATTTTCAATGTTGAAAAACAGTTGTGCTGCTTCATATTTTGTGAAGAGTGTGATACATTAATTTTTTCAGGATTCTTTGATGAATATAACATTCAAAAGAACAGCATTTACAGTATTTGAAAGAGAAATCTTTTGTAACATTATAAATGCCTTTACTGTCACTTTAGATCCATTTCACGCATCCTCGCTCAATAACAGTATCGACTGACTCCAAACTTAATATTTTTAATAAAATGCATTAAATAGATCTAAAGTGACTGTAATATTTCTATATTAATGTCACATTGAATCCATCAGCAGGGCATTTGGTCTTCATATCCTAACCTTTACCTCATTCAGGGAGCAGTGAATCTGTACACTGAGTCTCAGATCCAGCAGGCGGTGCATCAGGCCTCAGCGGGAGCCCAAGTTTCGCCTCGAAACGCCTCGTCTTGGAGGATGAGGATGAAGGGACGTCTGTCTGACTCACTCCCAGAGGAGGAGGGGTCGTCGCCACGGAAACTGATCATCTTCCACTGCGAGTTCTCATCGGAAAGAGGCCCACATCTGTGAGAAACACACTCCACACACTCACACACACACACACACACACACAGATGCAGAAAACACAAACAAACACACACACACACACACACACAAGTTTGTTTCTGTGAATTGTGGGGACTTTCCATAGACTTCTATTACTTTTATACTGACCAAACGATGTTTTCTATCCCCTAACCCTAAACCTACCCCTTACAGAAAACCTGTTTGCATTGTTACACTTTCAGATAAACATCAATTACTATTTTTAATCCCTCGTACAATGTCAAAAATTTCAGGTTTTACTATCCCCCACAGTGTAGCATAAAAAAAGCACACACACACACACTGAGTGCGTTTATGATGACACAGGCTTCTTGCCCGATCCACAGGTGTCAGTATCTGAGGAGGCTGGACAGACAGGCCAATGTGTATCCCAGCCTGCACTATCCGGAGCTCTACCTGCTGCTGGGGGGTTACAAACACTTCCATGCCTCTTACCCGGTACAGTACCACACACTATCTGACTGTCTTCACCACAGTATGCTGCAGCAGCTCAGTCAGGTGTCTCTGTGTCTCAGGATCTGTGTGATCCCTGCGGTTACGTGCCCATGCGCCACCGCGAGTACCGGGATCAGCTGCACGGATACCGCAGGAAACGACCAACACGGCAGCAAAGACGACGGCCAACAATCAGAGTACATCAGAGAACCACACGCTAAATACTACACACACACACACACACACACACATATATACATATACAGTCAAACCAAAATTTATTCAGACACCTTCAACATTTCTCACATTATCACAGTTTGTTCGCTATAGTTTAGAAACTTGTAATGAAATATGACAAGAACTCAGAGTTAAACTGTGTCAGAACAAATTCATCTTGATAATGTCAGATAACTTTGATAGAAAGGTATGTAATAGATTACAATCAACCAAAAAATATTCAGACAGCTGTTAGTATGACAGTATTTACACAACTATCAATACTTCAAAATTTATTCAGACACCTTCAACATTTCTCACATTATCACAGTTTGTTCGCTATAGTTTAGAAAATTGTAATGAAATATGACAAGAACTCAGAGTTAAACTGTGTCAGAACAAATTCATCTTGATAATGTCAGATAACTTTGATAGAAAGGTATGAAACGAATTCGGCTGAATTGTATTTATGTACACAATTAGATAATACCAATTTAGGTCAACCAATTACCAAGAAATGCTTAAATTGGTTTAGTCTGTGGTGTAAAAAGTTTGCATTAGCACTTAAAAGAAAAACACTTAAGCAAAACATGGTCAGGTCAAATGTCTGATAATTTTTGGTCCCAGATTTTTATCAATTTTACTGGTAGTCCACTGTATGAAGAATTTTTGGGTATAGTATGTCACTGTTTACTTTATTTTGCTATCCTCACTTACATAAACAAACTATAGTGTCCTGAACCCACTAGTAAAAAAATATAAAAAATGGTGTCTGAATATATATATACTGTATATAATCAAATATTTGCAAAAAAATTTAATAATAATTATGGCTACTAATGTTATGTATAACACCTTTGCTTATATATTTATGTTCTCTGCTAATCAACTAATCTGTAGGTCTTTGAATAAAGTATTTCAAACACAGACTGTGGTTTATTTTATTTTATTTTTTAAATAATGAACCAGGTCCTATGGGATGCAATTCCCGCCAGAAGTATTGCAGTCACAGATACAAAAAAAATTATAATTAAAAAGCGTGAAACCAAAAATTAAAAACGCAAGTAAAAATATACTGCACAAAATTCAAAAATGAAAGCAAAGTTTTCAGAATAGCAAACAATGGTCGCCGATCGTAAAATAATGAGCACAAATCAAAAATGTTATAACGCATTAAAAAAAAACAATAAGCATGAATCAAAACTTTAAACGCATTTAAAATCATGTTGCACAAAACTGAAATATTCATGCAAAATTATCCTACTTGCACACAAAATCATGTTTTCCTTGGTTATATTTCTCTGTTTTTTGTGCTCAGACATTTTCTGCTCATTATTTTTATATGCTTATGCTGCTTTCCCTTCGCTCTTGTTTCCACGTTCTGTGCTTGCTTTTGCAAATGTTGCGGTTAGTTTCATGTAAATCAGGGCGGGTTTAAGCGTCACCATTGGTCCACTAGTTCTAGATGCACTTCATTAGCTGCCGATGCTCACAAACCACAATCATACTGACCCCAGACCTTTGAAGGGTAGGTCACATGCAATGTGCAGAATGATGCAAATGCTGTTTTTCCTCTCCCGTAGATGCGGGTTATGAGTTTGACATCTGCTACACGTCTGTGCTGAAGCGTGCCATCAGGACCCTGTGGCTGGTGCTGGACAGCATCGATCAGATGTGGCTGCCCGTGCATCGCACCTGGCGTCTGAACGAGCGCCACTACGGCGGCCTGACGGGCCTCAACAAAGCCGAGACAGCGGCCAAACACGGCGAGGCGCAGGTGAAGATCTGGAGACGCTCCTACGACACCCCACCTCCACCCATGGACCCCGAGCACGACTTCTACTCCGCCATCAGCAAGGTGAGCAGGACACTGACGACCACCAGAAATGTGTCGATTCAGCATGCAAGAGCCATAATTTAAATAAATACAATTTAACACTGAAGTTAGAAGTGCTCGAGTAGATATTATTTTAATATGTTTAGATTTATATGTATATTGGTTAAACACCCCCCATGTTTATTCTGTAATGGTTTGCTCTGTTTATTATTGGACTGCCTTTAACCACCTTTAAAGGAACACTCCACTATTTTTGAAAATAGGCTAATTTTCAAACTCCCCTAGAGTTAAACAGTTGAGTTTTACCGTTTTCGAATCCATTCAGCCGATCTCCGGGTCTGGCGGTAGCACTTTTAGCTGTAGCTTAGCATAGATCATTGAATCTGATTAGA